CTCTGGTTACATTGTTGTTCAGTGTTTGATCGTTACGTCATACAAATAGGGGTGAATCGGTTAAATTATTATTGGCATAAATTGACGTCGCGTCGAGGGGAAAATAATGCAATCGCCTTAATGACTAGTTTCAGTACGATATAAATAAATATATATTATTATAAACATGACTAATTAAACAGAAGCATTCAAGTTTCGTTTATACATAATATTGTAATTGTTCTTCAAAAACGCCATGTGCGAAATCCATGGACTATTTTCAGACAGGATTACTGTATTATTATTATGTATATTTTTTTCGGAGAAAGCGATCATCATTTGCTTGTCGATAACATTTTATGTTCCGTTTTTGTTTTTTTTTTTTTTTTACTTCCACGTGCAGAAAATCTGCTACTTCAGAGACTTAAAATAAGATAAATGTCGCTCGTCTGTAATAACGTTTTATTTACCGTTCGATCAAACGGCTTAACCTCTCGTCCAGTAACATTTTTAAGGCAACTTACTATACCATCTAGGGCGATGGTATGAAGAAATTGGAGTTTTGTTGTAAATATATCGCAGTTGCTTCACAAATACTCCGATACAGTGTGAAATCTGTAAAAATAATCTGTTGTCTAAATCGAAATAAATTCATATTTCAGTAAACAGAGTTTATATTTCTATTCAGAGTTATTCACTCGAACATTGAGCTTAATTTGTTTCCAAAGCCTATGAAAGACAAAGGCAATTTTTTTGTAAATAAAATACACTGCATGTCAATATTTAGATAACAATATTCCATTTTATTTTCACTAATAGTTTTGGTTCGTAAGACCAATAGAAGACATTTTTTTTTTAAATAAGGATATTAAACTTGAGATATTAAAAATTACTTTACTTAAGTGATTTTTTTTTATACTCGGGATAATATTGAATTAAAAAAAGGTAAGTGCAATTTACTTTTTATATACTAACGACATTTTATGTTCTTGATTCATTGAATTTATATAATACAAAACATACTAAGTATATACATTATTTATACTGCATTTTAGACACTCGTTCTATTATACACTGCGAATAAAATTTAACTTATTCTGTTCGCGTATATATACCTATAGATCTCCAAAATGTAATTTTAGAGGAAACTACTTACAAAATCGACGTAGTAAGATTAAAATGTCAAAAACTAATAAAAATAGTTCCTAGACATACGGTATAAGGTAGAGTACATAGACTGTCTTTATTATCGTGAAAGGCCGCGTTCCGTTTGAAAAACTAAAATCTTATAAAAATACAATACCTATAATATATTATAATAATTTAATATAGAAGATACTTCGATGCGTGTTTTATTCTGTTATGGCTTACCTGTGTATAGTACTTACATTTTATACAATACTGCATATAATATAAGTAAAATTTGATGAGATTTCCGTGTTGTATATTATATTATAACTAACTCAAGGAAAGCAAAATCTGATATTATCTCATTGGTTGCTCGATTCACTAACATCATTATTATTACCTAAATATTCTCTCACTCACTGTAGATAAAGTTAGTAGGTACCAACATATACGACGTAAATCGTTTATATACGACGCACTGTTTAATTGTTTACGTTATGTATAGCCCATATAATACCCATGTTTTCTAACATATATTATTATACTGAGAACGAAAAATGTCAAAAGGCTTAGCTAAAGGGTTGTAAGGGCTTTTTAGTTTTAAATTTGAACTCATAAAGAAAGTCCTCCAACTGTATATTTCTTTTTAAAAATTGACTGAGCTAAAACAAAAAAGTTGACCCGACTTTGGCACTCGTTTGACCCCAGGCACGATACGTCCCTCGTATGAGGGTGGTCGTTGAGGAATTGTACGTACATAGGTATAGCCATATATAATATACGCATTGTATACTTTTCCATCTGTCTACAAGTTGGAAAATGTAATATTTTATTCATAGACATATATGTTTATTTTTGTTACCTCATTTTTATTTTTCATCACTGTATTTATAACCACGTTTGAACACCGCATTTCAAAAGCACAAGGGCACTGCATATACGAAAATATCATTTTATTTTTTTTTCAACAATTGTTATGGTCAGAACACGCTTAATAGTACATTATATTGCTACCTGTTCCGTTTGTTGGGAGCCAAAACCTTTTACAAAAATTATACCAAAAGACTTGACGCAAAAAATTAAGAAAATATTCCACTTTATGTTTAGGTGGTATAGCAATCGTGAACTAATAAAATGTTCTCTGTGTAGAAATTCAAACAGCATTTGTTTTACAGGCGTTTGAACATAACTCCATCAAAATACATATTGCATTATTATGAATATGTTCGAAGTACCAAGCGTAAGAATATATATATTCTTAAGTGTTCGGGTTTCAGCGTTTTCCTTTTTTTATGTATACATGTTTATTATTTTTTCGTAGCTTTTATTTAGTCATTTTTCTAGGTATCCTTTTAGTTTAATAAAAAAGTACTTGTTTGGGTACAATAAAATTGTATTTAAATTTTAAGTACGTTTTTCGTTTCCACAACTTAGTAAAAATCACTAACTTCAGAACTAGAGTTGAAAAAATATTAACCAACCGTAATTTTGACTCTTAAAGCCAGTTGATTCAATACGAACTGTTTTGTTTATTTTTAATAATCTTTCATTACTTAACATCAAAATCCAATAAAAATAAAAAATACTAAACAAATTATTGGAATAAAATAACATCAAATTAATGAAACTAACCATTATAGTAGATTGCAACAAGCAATTTATTTTCCATCTAAAATGACATAATGATGTTATGTTATTATTCTAATCGGTTCTAATTTTGACTATTCAAAGGCATAAAAAGCATTAATAAGGGGTTATAAAATTGATCAAATTAAACAGTTTACAGTGATTTCAAAATCATATCAATATAACATTACACAAATATGATTTGATTAGGATATATTTTTTTTATTTCAATAAATAATTGATTTTATAAACGAGTGATCATATTAAATTTAATTCACATAGGTTTAGGTGTATCTATATATATATTTATATACATCATGAATTTATTGATGTATAGTGTAAAAATATTATTATATATTTTTACCATTTACGAGAGTTATGTAATTGTATTATATATTTATTATGCTCCTGATTCAAAATTATATTTATAATTATTTTATGCGAAATTATAATAATTATAATATTATATCATGATATATTATATATTATTGTGTTCGTGTACAAAACTTGACATTTTATATCGTGGTTGCGTTTTAAGTATAAATATACTGATTGTTTACTTCATGGTTAAATTACATAATATACAAAAATATTATACTTGGGCAAACATAATATTATAATATATTATTAAGTTTATGTAATCCATGTAAAATTATTTTAAAAATGGCCAAAGTATAATAATGGCATTGTATTAAAGGCGTATTTTGGTCAAAGTCATGACTATTATTATTGTATAGGTTGCCTAGCACCTTCTATTTGCATCTGATAATATTTGGATTTATTTTATGTATACAAAAATTAACCATTTCACATTTTGTAGAATATAATTAATAAAATAAGAAAATAATTGCTTTTCACCGATTATTCCGGAATATTTTTACCCAGCAAGATTATCAAACAATTAAGTTATCAGCTTATAAATGTAATTTTAAAGTTATATATATATATGTATATTAACGAACGTTTGTGCGGGATTTAAAAAACTTGAAAACTACTTATCTACTAACGTAAATATATTATACTATATAAATTATATAAATGAATGTTTGTTTCTAGTTAATATACTTAAAAGCCACTCGACCGATTTTGACGAAAATTTCATATTGTTCTTATAGATATCAGAAGAGTTTAGAGTGTAGTTTGAACCACTTTCAAAAATATTACAAGTGCTATATCCAATCCACTACAGGTGTATTACCCGTTTTGGTCGAATTCGATCACAAAGCGAGGTATACAGAGAACGATTTGTCCGTGAAATGATTTACACTAAAAACGCCATACACCTAAAATATGACGGTGTATTTCATATTTGTTTATTTTTTCACGGACAAAGTCTTGTTATGTACGGATAATTCAACTTCCCATTATTATTACGAATAACTCCTTGATATTAAACGATATTCGGGTTAAAAATTAGGACACTGTACATATTTATTTGTTTATTATATATAATTACTTTGTTTTGGATCTCTGCGAACCGAGTAGGTTGTGCATATATTAACGTGTGTTTATGCACAATCCGTCTTTGTATTCGGTATCGCCGAAACGGAATCCAATATAGATAAATATAATGGTATTTTAAAGTTCTATCCACTTACATACAGGTAGGTGTAGTTATTATTGTTATTAATGTCCGAGTGTTATTGGTAAGCGACCGTCGACCTGTACAGACTTCAAAACACCCCGCGTAAGTCGGTAGTCGAACATAATAACGATCTAATATTACAAACCATATTCTGACATTAAAAACAAAAAAAAAGTCGTTATACACGCCCCATGTACAAAATATATAATAATAATAAATAAAGTTGCGTATAGGCGGTCAAACACGCAGCGGTGGATTGGGGCAAGGACGATTGTCTCGTATATATATACATAGGTACTATATTCGTATGGGCATGCCGTGTACGATGAGCGGGGGAGTAAGTATCCGTCGTCGATCACACACGAACGGGTTATTATTATTATTTTAACGGTCCATCAGCTGTGCGCAACACTGCCTTCGGCACAGCATCACCGTAATTGTCAGAGAGACCATCGGAGAACGCGATTTTTTTTTTTTGAAATTGTTCTACTCGCACACGCCATATGGAAAACAATGCAATCGTCGTCGTCGGTGGCAGTGGTGGTGACGGAGGAGGAAGGGGTTTTACGGCCGCCACCACCGCCACCGCCCGCCAAGCTTCCTGTTCCGGTCGGTTCGGCGCCGGTCGTGCTCGGTCGCCGTCGCAGTCGCCGCCGCCGCCGCCGCCGCGCCGTCGCTACCACAGCTCGGCCCTCGGCGTTCACATCAGACGCAATTCCGACACGGCGGCAGTCGTACGTTCCGCGATCACACGCACACACCGCGACATTTTTACCTTTTACACACTGAACACACCACCTTAACCACCACCATCACTACCACCTCCACCACCTCAGTCACCACACGTACCCAAATCCTTACAGACACACCACACACACCGTTCCAAGTCCCTTTTTGTTATTTTTGCGTTTGTTATAATTTTCGCGTATTTTACACCGATTAATAAAATAAATAAATTAAACATCGATCGATTGTAAATCTGAGATTCAATTTTTATTTTTCTCTTTGGCCGTCGCGTGTGTGTAAACCTACCCTACAATAAGAATACAATATTATAATATAATTTATCACAAATCGAAATACCGCCGAAACGACTGTGCACTGTCGACCGTCTTCGCCGACCCTGCAGTAGTGACCTGCCGTCGCCGCTGAGTCTACTAACCACCTTCGTCTTCTTCGTCGTCGTCCGGAACCGATAACACGATACCACCGATAAGCTGCTACAGGAAACCGTGCCGGTCCGCGGTAGTGACCACATGTTGGCGCTGGTAGTGGTCGTCACGCAGCATTACACCCACCCGGTTGAATCGTGGAGGCCGTCGCCGTTGGAGGGTTGAAGAGGGCCCGAGGTGGTGCGTACAACGGACCGGAGGCCGCCGCCGCCACCCTCAAGAAGCTCAGACTGGACGCCGCCACTGCCGCCGCAGCCGCAGCCGCAGCCGCAGCGATGAACATGTCGCCAACAGGTCACACGCCACCGCTGCAAGTCCAACAACAGCAAGGACCTGGCAGCGTATCGGTTGATGGCCAGCAGTCCGTGGTTACTGGCATGTGCAACAGCATCGATTCCGTCGGGCCCGGCGAAGAAGAGGTAAACATAATAATACTATACTGATTTTCAACTAAAATAACTGTTATCCGATCGATTAGCGTTGAGATATTCATGGATATTAAATATAATATACTTAATATGATATTCGCGTTTACAAATCGATAGGTTAGATTAGGCTATGAATAAGTCGGTAAGGTTGATTTTGGCACGTAATTAAAGCAACTCGTATTTAGTTGTAGGTACGATATGGGTACCTATTCGATTTACATGTACTAACGTTATTTAATAGTATTATTATAGTAACGACGATTCGGTGGACGTACGGACCGAGGGCGTCTCCCCGTGTCCACCGTGAGAACATTTTCTAATAATAATAATAATAATAATATTGTATTTTTCGACGGATGTACGTCGTATAATCCTTTGCTTGGCCGTCCCGTCATGTATCCCCCACCGCCCGTCCACCCGTAAGCCTAACATTTTATTATAATATATAGGTTCACTATGTATATTATGTATATACTCGATACGCTCGTTATTTGTGTGTAAAACTTGCACACACACGACACTGTATGCGTACATTACATAAAATATACACCAGCACACAAAAAAAAACAATATGTTTGTTAGGGCTTGGCTCGTCGTTGTCGTAGACATCGTCGTCGAATGTGATAATTGCTCCGAACGAGGACACGAACGACTGCAGCAGCAGCGTGGTTTGTATAAGTCGCGTGTAATATTATATATAGGTACTTAAATGTTTAATATGTATGCCAAGTGCACTGCACCCTCCTCTCCTCCATTGGGGCCACCATTACCTCTATCCCTGTATCAATAGTTACCAGTTCTTATCAACTGTCAGGTGGAAATATCATCATTTTTTTCCGGAGATCGGTGACAACGCACAATACGATCTAGAACCGCGTATGTCGAATAGTGTTGTTTAAGTGCGTTCTCAGATTTAACTTCACTTACCATCGTTTTTTTATACTGCTCATCGTAGAATAAATTGTTTGATTATGTATATACATATATATATATATATATTATGTTGTATATATTATGTTGTATATAAGATTGACACGAAGATTGAAAAGACGGAAAAATGTGAGTCTATAACAACGAGACCCTTGCCATCTTAAGAGTTTTTTTGATGTCACGCGACGCATTATACTGCACCATAACCACAGCGAATACTGGTAAAATCTCCAATGAACTGAGTTTCTAGGTATACAGGTACTGGTGTTAATGTGTATGCTTCGATTTATCGACTGAACACACCTAGTGCCTCAATGACTATAAGTTCTTATCGTTGTTTTTTTGACAAAATACTATCACACCGAAAAGTTTGAATAATATCGTGAACGTCGTCTGTGAAAATTATTTTTTTTTTTATTTCCAGAGGAAATAATAATTTTATTTAATTATTTTTAAAACCCGTTAAATAATTTACAGAACACGTAGAGCGTGCGCACTTTACCATTCTTTCGATCGCAAGCGGCGGGTGACGGTTGTATTGCGTGAGTTTTTCGCGCAGGTGTGCCACTCGTTTCTCCTAAGTTTCGGGTGAAAACGATTCCATATGCAAATAATACTATCGGTAGGGCCTATGTTTTTTTTAGGTTATATAGATTTCAGGTGTGGGTGTCGCGCACATAACGTCATCGTCGTTCATCGTTTTGTAGTCGTCGTCAGCGGCGGCACTACCGTGTACACAATATTACAATACTTGCAGGCTGCAACCAACACGCGCGCGATCCCACCTAGGCGCTAATTACCAGTCGTTCACGGTCCGCCAGATACGCTGTTCAAATATACACACGCCCAGTGGTTGCCAAAACGCGATGCGTAAAACGAAACTGCCAAGCGCGTGACAAACTTTATGACGAAAACGGAAATAATGCGTAAAGAACGTATATAATTCTTTGCTGCAGCAAAAACGGTCGTAAAATGACGTTTTAATATTTTTGTTATTATCGGTAGGTAGGTACACCTATATTACAATATTGTGTACCACCGAAGTTTCGTAAGACGCACACACGGGGAGCGCGGCAACATGTGTTCACCTGAGGGGCAGCTGCTGCTCCCCACGAGAACAGCTGATCGCCGTCGGGGTGGTTGCCGACGACGGTGGCGGGTGAGCGCGTATCGTATGTGACGGGATTTCGACGCACGAGTGCGTGCGTGTGAGCGCGCTAACAAGACTCCCTCCAAAACAACAACAAAAAAATGCGTCCCATCAAAAATATCACGTTTCCGGTGATGACGTGATCTTAAAGCAATCGACAGCCACGCGAAAAAAATTAATCTCCAGGAAACTCTGCATGGAAGTTATCATCATCAGATATACTCGGGTGCCCTTATACAACTCGCATCGAGGTGAATAGTGTAGTAAATATGATACAATGTGTAATTATTATGTAATTATATGACAATACTGGTGATATTGCAGTATTGCGATTATTTCACCGAATCACATTGTTATCGTTTCACGAGTAAAATCGAAATATTATACTCGGCTAAAAATCACTTAGACACGCTTGTGGCTGGGGGAAGATACGGTCATCGTATATTGCAAAACTGGTTTCCACGGTAACCCTTTCGACCGGAATATTCCGAAATACCAGTAGAGGTCCCGCAATAATATCCCGTCTTCATTACAATATTGTATGTGACTACCGCGGAGACCTCTCGCCGGCACAGCCGCCGTGTTTATTATAATACACGTATACATTATATTAATGCGCACCCTCAGATGCGAGCGACCGTATTAGAAATCGGAGTCTTCCATAAAATATTTCATAGAGAAAAAAAATACTAAACTCGTCGGCGCGCGGAGACGACGCGTTTTATTATTTATATATATATATATATTACTATACAAGTATAGTCGGCAGTCAGCTGCAGCAGCTGCTGTTGTTCCTCGCGAGACAGAATTTTATGTATAGGTAGGTACATTTCCCCATTTTTGTGTAAAGCGCTCTGTATAAGTATAAGTATATGCGCCACCCTGTATAGCGTATATTATATTATCCGACGACAACTCGTAGTACAACTACGTAGGGTGATCTGGTTTTGAAATGAAATCTTTTTATTATTTTTTTTTTACATTTGAGCGATTTTGACACTACCTAGCGATGAAAACATATATTATATCATATTATATTCGCGCTGTGCAGAGATGATCGTCTTTGAAATCGGCACAACAATCTGATGATAAAGCCACGCTTGGTACCACGCCATGGTCGTGTGTTATAATAATGCTATATCACATAGTATTCGTGTAGTTTGTCAGAAGATTTTGTATTGTGCAGCATCTCACAAGTTTATATATATATACATATGTATATTATAATATATGTTAGAAGATTATGATATAAAAACTTTAACTGCGTCGGCGGGCGCCAGTCAGCGCATAATTCAACGTTCTCTCAACGACCAGCTCTGCCGCTCTCAAGCCACTCGAGACGACGTCTATACCCACACTCACACATCGGGTATCGCCCCTCGTTATGGCCAAGAGTGCACACGGTTTTTATCACAACACCGACAACCTAACCCTCCTGCAGTCGCCGCCAACAGACTTGTACGAAAGCATCGAGAAACGAGAAATGTCCCCTTATTCTCTTGCGCCCCGAACTCGATAGCGGGCGCTAATTACGGCGGGTGACTATCAGCGACCGGGTACGTGATATTTACTCAGAAATATAGACCGCAGCATAATAACACTCTGTCGACGCCGTCACGGACGTATATGTTGTAGGTACGTGATTTTTTTATCATCAAAATTTACGTTTTCCGAAATTTTATTCAATTCTGCCGAATAAAGTGTTCGTCACCGCAAAACTCGTAAACTCTTCCATGCACGCTCGTGCACAGTTGTTGACTCGTAAATCCCTCGGAAGCGGCGCGGCGGCGGCGGGCATATGGCAAGCGGGGCTCGTGTACTAGCGTTCGCCGTATGCCGTTTCCGTCCGGAGCGATAGTTATAGTCGACGACTACGCCACCGCCAATGCCACTGCTGTCGCAGATATTTTTCTGACGTACTCGATCTTATATTGTCCTCCGAGACATTAATACTATGGTTAATACACCGATGTAGACGACGATGACAAATTTGATATAATTACAAACGTCATCATATTAATAATTCCGATAAAAACAAATACGCATACGAACAATAATATTATAAATATCACTATAACGGTATCTCTATATATATACGATGCACATGCAATATGTACAGACGCTGCATATAATATACATACCTACACAATTTTATACATACGCTTACATTTTATGTACCGCCGAGCGACCGTATCTGGTCAAGCTCTGAAAACCAGTTTAAGCACGAGCCGAAACGCCAATTGAACGACGTCGTACGTCTATGACGATGATAATAATAATGATGAAGATGATGGTGACGATGATGGACAACGTGTTCACACCGCGAAGTTCCTGTGCAGCCGCCACTGCCGACTTATGTCCGATAACAAATTATATTATTATACAAATCTTGTGTTTCCGGTGCATCGCGATCGCACTGCAGCAGTTGTTCCTTTATGCAATCTAAAAACATTAAGCATGTTGCATATACTAAGTTTAATATATAGCCCATTTATTATAGAAACAAAACATATAATATTATACTCTGATGTACTAGAAATTATATTGTATGTTTTATCATGCAATATCATTTAGGTAGCAAGTCAGTCTAAAATGTGGTAATAACATAACGGTTCGGGAAGAAATCAATATTTTCCATCTGCTATATTTTTTTCGTTACTTCTACAATTTACCTATATAAAACTATGTAGGTATTAGTATTCTGAGTACTATGTTTATATTTACGTTTCAATAATGTCACTATAAAAAAATTTAAGATTAAATATAAACAATAATAAAAAATAAATAATACATAATAAATTATAATTAATATAATATAGTTATAATTATTGTTATTTATTATTATTTTTATTTATTTAAAATTTAATATGTTTGAAATATATCAGTATTTGTTATCAGCGTAGATTTATAG